TATATATATATATATATATATATATATATATATATATATATTATTATAAATATATATTATTGTAAGGTAGTAGTTCTCCTTGAATTTCTCCTTCGAAATTGACGATTTGAATTAATCAATATTCTGCAGGCCAACGATCGCTACGTACTTGAGTTTCCGTTTTCATGACAGGCTTCTCTCTTAAACCTCGATTAGCGGTAAGCGGTTTGTCAACTGTGTATATAAAATCTATCCAAATAATCCGTTATATATATGTACTAGAATATATGTACTATGAATTTTCGTGATTGGCGATTTTCTTATTAGTAGTGAGATATAAAGGAAAAAAATTTTTTAAATAGAGTAAAATTAAACATTGAAAATGAACTAACCCATGTCAAAATTGGAATTATCTACTTTTTATGATTTGTATATATAAATAATAATTGTCTTCTAGAGAATATAAATGAATTCAGCATCTTGCTATATTTATTGTAAATAGTAAAACCTAACAAATCTATATATAAGTAATAAAACAAGTATTTTTTTAAATATTGAAAAATTATTTTATTTCTTAGGATCAAATTATCTGAAACATCCAGGTCTTTCTAGAGATCCTACATTTTCTTTCTTCCGAACAGATTAACGTATGATGGCGGAGCATAAAATGGAAGCATTTCATTCTGTGCGTTTTTATTTCTCTCTAATATCCGTGCTTTTATTACGCAAGTTACATAGTCGTATTCGTATACTGAGAGAGTTGAATTAAGTTCGCTAATTTCGCTAAGCTGCGAATCACAGACACCTATTAGATCGCAAGGGAATCATAAAAGTAGCATGAAAGTGAAATACTGAAATTGGAAATAGGAATTTATGGAATAATCAATATTCTCTTAAGATAGATCCCGTTTAAATCTTGTTAAATACTTCTAAATTTAAAATTTTTTTTGTTAGTCTTAAGTAATCAAAATTCAAGTTCATATGTGCATTGTGTGTTGAAAAAAGTTTATTAAACTTTATGGCAGAGAAATCTTTCTTTACTTTGAAATATGTTAGTGTAAAAAGTTGAAAGCAGGTTTTGCTTTCAGCAGCTGAAATTTTATGTGACTTTATGCGACAGTTTATTTTATTTTTTCGTCATTTTTTGATACTATAACATCCTTCAGAGCAAAATTTTTGGAATAAAAACAATGGAAAATTGATCGTTACATTGTTTATGGCTCACACGAACTCAAGTCTCATATTTTCAAAATATTGTTATTATTTTGAATCGAATGAAATTTATATAAAAACATAAACATGTTTATTTGTACAATTTTTAATACTTTTTCCTTGCGTAATTATCAACGATATATGTAAATGTTATGCTAAAACCCGACTGCTATGCAAATAGTTACTTCCCTCAGAAATTAGATCGGTTATAAAGTTTCGCTTTGCGGTACACCATCGCCAGTTAGTAGTTTACCGTAAGTGCAAATGCTACGGAACATAGAAGGCCAAGTAGCCAAGTAGTCATGACGTAAGAATATTAGATATAGCAATAAGACTTCTCATGTACTTGCAACAATACAGTTTATTTATATATTAATATGCTGGTATATTCGCAGGCATAGAAATAGTAGTGTGAAAATTTTTATTAATTTCGCTTCCTACTTAAATTTCTTATTAACTTCTTTACTCATTTGTTACGATAAAAATAAAAATATATTTATAAATACTGATTCTTTAATAAAAACTAACCTTTTTTAGAACATCTGAAAAATGAATAATGGATAAAAGCATTGAAAATAATATTGTAAGATTTTTTAAACAAAATTAAATGTTTATATCTGATACTTGAAACAAATTGTTATTTATCTTACTACTTTTTGAAATAAAATACCATTGAATTCGCTGTATATTTGCCTCTGTTGCTATTTTAATTTATTTGGTTTCTCTTTATTTTCATCGAGTGAGAAATTTGTTTTTGATTAAAAATGTGTATGAAGTTTGAGATATCACGTTGTTTATAAAAACGATGCCTTATTTCTCCGATCAATAATTCGTCCTCTTGCACTTTTTGCGTCGTGGCAAGGATATAACTGCACTATATTATCGTATAACATTTAACTCTTAACGTTTAACTCTCCGGAGACGATTATTCGCGCTATTGTAACAGCTACTACAGGAGGTACAGAAAATGAAAAGCCCGAACAGAGAGGAAAAAAATATACGGGTTTAGTAATGTTTATTATTATTAAATTTAATCTTGTTTGGTGCATTTAAATTTTCTTAATAAATTAGTACTGCGGAATTAAATAGTTCAAAAGATCGCGCAATAATAAAATATTATTATATTCTTCGATATTATTGATTTTACGTCTATATTAATATGTATAAAGAAAGAAAATTAATTTTTTCATATTTAACACGTGATTTGTTGCTTGTAAATAAAGACACTGAGAATTAATTTATTGCTTGTTGAGAAAGATTGCTCTTTTAGATGTCCATTTGAAAAGCATTAATAAAAAGGCGTTTATTAATTTTAAATATATTTTAAGCAAATAACAAAGTTCTTGTTAAAGCACTAAAGCAGTTTTATTGAGATTAACCATACCTATGTGATGTGAATATTCTAAGCTTATTAAATTTACAGAAGTCCAACGAAACGATAGTTAAGTTGAAAGCTGGGAGTGGCACTATCATATATCCTGAATAATTAATAAATGAGACCGAATACAACAAAGCCAAAAATATCTATCTTATTAACTTTATTTAATTAATTAAAAGTATTTGTTTACGAATTAATGTTGTAATTGGCGCGGAAAGTTTGGAATTAAATGATATAGGCTTATAACTTTTATGAGAAAAAATTGGTACAAAATCGAACAAAAAAATATTAATCAATTAGAGATTTTTGCAAAAGTGTTTATTTAAAATATTTTAAAATATTATTTATTACTTTTCAAGAAATATTTTAATCAAAAGTTGCGGCGCGATGTGTCACTTACACGCATAAATTAATTAACAAATCTTTAATTTAAGATGTCTCGGCGGATTATTCTCGTTAATTTTCTTGGGACTTTATGTTTTAGAATAAATTTTAGATTAGATAAGGGGACGCTAGAACAATTTTCTAATTTCGTAAATTGCCGCTAAAAATAATTTCTTAGGAAATTCTATCGATTGATCCTTCTACGAATTTTAGTCTATTTTCCTATAGTTTCATCACGTGGGAGATCGCAATAAGTTTTACGAGCGATCTTTTTTGCATTTTAGCATTAGACTTCGTATGCACGAGAAGTTGCGGAGAAAAAAAAACAAATGGGAAGAATGAATGGATGGGAAACGCGTGTGTCTGATAGGGGGAGAGACTGGCAGATGCACCGAGTCATGAATAACCAAGTATTTGGATCAAGGAATGTCGGAAAAAGAACAATTGGTGTGGGATTTTCGTCTGTTGGCCTTTGAAATATCGATTGCCATGCGATGGCTGATGAATCGCGAACGAATCGCTGAGTTTCCATCTATTTTTACAAAAGGTCGTGTAAGAGATTTAATTGTTACCGTTTTTCCGCGTTGCTGATTAATTTTCTCGTTTCGCTCACTTCTCGTATTGTGGAAATAGCTATCAACACGAAGATCGTACATTTTTATGTATGATCTTTAGACAGCTTGTAATCTCTTATATACATAATTGTCATGGATAAAAAGATTACAAATTATATAAAAATATTTTATTTCGTACTTTCTTCAAATATAGAATATCTTGTTAATAATTAAATGTTGAAGATTATGATTGTAATTGGAGAAGATTATGAAGATTTAATTTTTTTCATATCACACACGATAGTTGTTTAGTACGAGATGTAGATGTAGACGTGTACGTACATAGTTGCGATACAAATTGATAAAATCGAGCTGAATTTTATATTTAATTAAAAAAATGTGTAATGCCAGAAAGCAAATAATGCGCGCGTAATATGCGTCTGTAGCGTCTCTAGTCATGAATAAAAAGTACAATTTTCTACCTACTCGAGTACGCTCGCGATTGATCGCTTTAGGGAAAAAAAAGAGAATAAAATACTGTACATTGATTGTACAGTGTTTTATTTTCTTTTTTTCCCAATTTTGTACGGTTGTTGGGAAATGGTGAGATCGTCAGAGACTGCTAGCAAGTAGTCTCTCACATTGTGGAGTGGCAAACGCTTTTTAGTTAAATCCTGACTGACTTAATTAAGAGTCGAAGATTGATATACAGTATTGTCTATCAGTTCACGATTATTTGCAAAAAATTAAATTTTCAATAAAAAAATATGTGAACCAATTCCTCGTGCAAATAATCTTTTTTTCAGGCACATCAATATTGTTTTGATTGAAAAAGTTGCTTTTTCTATTTTTTAGCTATACAATTAAAGTGTAAAGTGAAATAGTGCATGTTTTGAAAACAGTGAAAGACAAAATTTATTTTCTGTCTTTTTGTTTCCACTGCAAGAATAGAATATCAAATTTGTACACACATTGTTTAATTCGGAAGTGCATCATATATTTATTAAAATTTTTTATGACGCATAATCTCATGAAACGATAATGATATAAATTATTTTACAATAAAAAGCGAATAATAATGGAGTTTCCCTGTCCTGTTCCTTTTTGTTAATAAAGAATTTTCATTTATCATTTTATATGGTACGGTTATCAAATGAATATTTAATATACTGTGGTTGTGTCTATGTATGTGTTATATAAAAGAAACTTTTTTTACGTTTCTATATTTGATAACTGAAATATTTGTATGTATATTTTGTGTGATATATCCTATATTTAATTTTTGTTATTTAAAGTAATTTTAATTGAATTCTGAGACATAATAAACATGATTGATACAATGTTTAATAAATATTTAATAAATATGGATCTTTAATATATTTTAAATGATATATACGTGTGTGAATTATACCTTTATTCTTCTTACTGATTTGCTGCTATTGTTGCTAACATGGACGTGGACATTGATTGAATCCCCGTGTTCGTAGATCGCATGATCTAGCTTTGCTTCCAATCTGACACGACCGTCACTTAATAAAAATGGCTTTTCTACTGCGGCGTGTGGTCCCACGTTCTCTGCGAAAATAAAATCGGAATGCTAGATATCATCTCTTCTAATTTGTGCTTCGCCTTGTGATAAACTAATACGACGAGATCGGTTTACTAAAATGAAATAGGAGTATCTCAGTGTATCTCGCATTAAACCCGAGATACATGCTGTTCGAGAACCTTCGAAGTCAAGTTCTATTTTGTTTTGAAAATTTCAATTTCCAGGCCACTATAATTGCACAAATTGTTACAAATTCACGCCGTAGTAAAAATTAGAAATAGAGACTTATGGCGAATCAAGATTATAAAGAAGCAGAAAATAATACATAGGTACAGGTAACAATGGCAATAACTAGAGCTTGAAATTTAATGCTAAATAAATCTACGTTATCATGCGCATCATGCTGATCGCGACCAACCATCGTCCTCCATGATCTCATTTTCCGCTAGCGCCGTTCTTGTCCTGGATCCTTGAATTCTCGAGGTAGTCGATGGCACTTGAGAGGGAGGCACGCTGTACATAGTCATCGAGGGTAAGGGTGGTTTCGTGGCACGCTGGATCACCCGAATGCCCATCCTGACGGTGGTTTTACGATGCAATCGTTCGTCCGCCCGTTCCGCTAAAATCCGTCGAACGAAATGTTAATGATGCGATGAAAACTGATGCCAAAGTTTATTCACGAATTTATTGAGTAATTGAACACGTCTTTTCCCTATCAAATTTATATTATAGACAGAAATCTGATCTTCTTAAATTTAATAATCATTTTCTTTTTTTTTCTTTTTTTTGAAATGATTATATTTGTATGATTTATAATAAATCTGATATTGACAAAAATAACTTTCTATTTATCTATTTTAAAAAAGAAATTAGCAAATATAAATTTGAAGTATTTTGTGACAAGATAAGATAAAAACTATTTAAGTTAAATAACTTTGTATAATTTTTGGAACAAGAATAAAAATGTTTTAAATTTTATGGGAAATTTGTTCAAATATACTTACTTTTTTCACGTTTCAAATTTTACAATTGTAAAAGTAGAAAGTACTTTGTTATTCGATCCTTTGAATTCTTATTTCTATGCAATTGCGTGTTGGGAGATGGAAAATACATTTCCTTCGCTTTCGTAAATACGTTCATTCCTATTTCGTTCGCGAACGTTTGTAATTACACTTTCGTTCCAAATTGCAATGTGCTATTGTCTTTCTTATTTCGTTCGCCCGAAGTGCATACGCTTGTTGGTACAGAGAAAATGAAGCCCAAGAAAATAGGCAAGCTTTTTCCACTCACCAACGTAAACTCTGATGTCGTAGCTGTTACCTATAGGGGGACCGTTGTATTCCTTAGCTGGAACCAGTTGTACGGATGGTGGGGCGATTGAGGGAATTTCTATGGTGAATGCATGTGCATTGGGTCCTAATCTTTTGATAAGTGCTTCCTGTAAAAAGGATTTCGAATCTTTGTTTGCGTGTACGTATTTATATTAAGCATAGTTAAAGAGGTTTATCGATAATCTGAAAATTTCAAGTATTTAGAATATAGATTATTATATATATATATATATATTATTCCGTTGTATATATTCCATAATGTATGTTATATTATGTTTCATAATGTGCATTATATAGAGAAAACTTGAGAGAGAATGATGTGTTATACGTTATAGTCGTTTTCCATATAAAAATAAATAAAGATAAAAAAATTTTTACATAAAATAAAATTTAAAAAGTTTTTAGCGAAATGTATATTTGAAGTAACACGCATATGAGAAAATAAATATTGATACTTGTGTACTGGATTGCCGCGCACTGATATTCATCGATCTAAATTTCATTAAATTTATACGAAATATCACGTATACAATTTTCACAAAAGTATTGTCGCTCTCATCGGTTTTTGATGAATGAAAAACTGATTTTATATCCGAAATAAGAGCGAATAAACATTAATTTGTTATTTATTATTTTACAAAATTATTATTAGATTTAAATATTAATTAAGTATTCACGATGCAATCATATATTCAATAGAAATGCATGAATAATAATACTAAAAACTAAAACATTGCGGATGTATGACCGTAATGGGAAGCTATTTATATTTTAACATTTACGGAATTATAAAATGAAATATGGAAATTGAATTTTGAAAATTTTTGTGTTAAAAAATTTTTGTGTACTTTAAATTTCTGCAAATCGTTATACAAAATAGTAAAAAATAAAACAATATTTGAAAAATTTTATTCTTTACTAGTGTATATGATATTTCGTATTTGCATTTGCATTTAATTTTATCTCAAATACGTAAACAATTTTTTTCTAGAGAAAATGTATAATACAAATAAAAAGAAAAATATAGTGTAAAATATTTAATGAAATATATATTTCGTTATTATACTTCTAAATAATCTAGATATTCTAAAATAG